CTCCCTGCAGTTGGCACACCACAGTTCAAATCTGAACTTGCTGCAGAATCCAAACCCTTGTGAGCCTGGGACATAGCAGCACAAGTGAAAAATCCCACACCATGAAATCTTATTTCATGCACAAAAAGTATTAAAACTATTGTATAAAATTACCTCTAGGCTATGTGTGTAAGTCCTATATGAAGCATAAATGAACTTCATCTTTAGATTCGGGTCCCATTTCCAGAATATCTCATGTACTTGCAATATTAAAAACAAAAGCAAAAACAAAAAACCCAAACCAGAAGCAGGCCTGGACTCAGGTATTTCAGATAAGGAATCCTTCATGAGTAGTAATTAGATTACCCAGCCCTAGACAGTCTCCAGGCTGGTAGGATGTGGGCGCACATAAGCTCTCTTCTCTTGCTCTGAGTATAGGTAGGCAAAAACCACGTGCAAGAGAAAAATGTGTGAGAATTACATTTTTATTTTGTCCTCTAACTTGTGTGTCATTATGTGTGCATGTGTAGGTGCATGTGCACTTGTGTGTGCACGCACACATAGTCAGAGGCTAGCCTCAGGTACCACCCTCAAGAATGCAGTCCCTTTGAGACGAGTCTCTTATTGGCCTGGAGCCTGCCAAGTAGGCTGGACTGGCTGAGTGAGCCTTGGGAGCCTCCCTTCTTCAACTCCCCAGTGCTGGGATCCTAAGTGCATACCACCAACCACTCCCACTGCTTCTTTTTTTTAAGGTAGGTTCTGAGAATTGAACTCAGGTCCTCATGCTTAGAAAGCAAGTGCTTTACCTACTAAGCTATCCCTTCAGCCTAAGGATTACAATGTCTTAGTATGGATATAGCTTTAAAAGCATGTCTAACACAGGTTGTGGTTTTGTAACTTAAAAAAAAAAAAGACATTTTATAACTTTAGAAAATGCGCATATTCTTTGCCCAACTACTAGGAATTCAATAGTAAATTCTAAAATAAAAATACAGGTAAACTATAATTATTTATAAGTATGTTCACTGAAAGAAACATTTTTCTAGAAGAAAATAGATACTATTAACAGGCTGCAGCCACACAATGGGTGTAGATAATGATAGGCTGAGGGGAACTTATATTGGACTACTTTAACCTAGAAACACTTTATATAGTGGCCCTATTTTTATGTTTTCTAAAAGTATGTGACTTTATGAACTGGGAAAGTACCAGGCTATTGCAATAGCTGCCACTCTGTGGGGGATGGAGGTGCTTTAATAATAGGATATGCTATTGGTTTTCGGAGTCTTCATAGTGACAATATGAAAGAGGCATTCTTTTTTTTTTAAATGTGTATGGGTATTTTGCCTGCACGTGTGTCTTTGCATCTTGTGCATGCCTGGCGTCCTCAGAAGCTAGTAGACATTGTCTGATCCCTGGAATTGGAATTACAGACAGTTGTGAATCACCGTGTGGTTGTTGGGATTTGAACCCTAGTCCTCTGGAAGAACCACCAGTGCTCTTCACCATGTAGCCATCTCTCCAGCCCCTAAGGGATGCATTTTAAAATAGAGAGTCAAAACTATGGTGTATGCATAACTTAGTATGATTTCAGCTTTGTAAAACCTATGTATCTTTAATATTTATGCCCATATGTGATTGCATATTTAATAAACACAGCCTGAGGAAACATCATATTGTTAACTGGGATTATTCCTGTATAGTATGGATAAAGGGATTTGAAGAAATCCTCCTAGTTCTGTAGCTCTGATAGAAGTCATACAGGTCCGTTTCAACCATTTCTCAGCCTCTTTACAGAGGGCATAGCAAGAATGTCTCCAGATGGACAGTGGGTTTGTGTTGTTCTGACAAATCCCATGTGAGTGCTCAAGCTTCTCCCCTCTTCCTCCTTCAACAGTTGTTGCTTGGATGGGCTCAATAGTGTGGTGTTGAGCTCCAGGTTGGGGCGGGGGGAGCCATCTTGGTGCACTTCCATTTGTTTGGACAATAATTCAAGAAGGCCTTGTTTTGTTTTTTTGTTTTTTATTTTTTTTTTCTGCCGACATTCCTGCCTTCTTGGCTGGCACAGCCACTTACATTCTCAAACCATCTTTCAAAACCAAATAATCTGACACGCAAATATTTCTTGGCTCTTAGCAGAGAGAAGAGGTCAGGTTAGTGTTTGCTTGACTAGTCTGCTCCCTTCCTTTTGTGGAGTAAAGGCACAAAAAAGAAGACACCTGCTACATTGCAGCAACACCAAGATTTATTGTTATATCTCCATTGTCTGTTTTGCTTTTCATTCTGTTTCATAATGAAACCATAGTAAATAAAAATAAATCACAAATTTTGATGCAGTACTGGATAGATCTCTGCTCTATTGTCCCAATTCAGGCCTTGATGCCAGCCTTCATATTGTTATTTGCTTGAATGCACTTACTAATTTTGTATACAGATGGACCTTTTTAAAAACAAGCAAAAGAAAAAGAAAAAAAAGATAAACCAAACAAACAAAAAGTAGGGTCTTTCTTTGAAGCCCTGGCTGGCCTGGAACTTGCTATGCAGATCAGGCTGGCCTCTAACTTACAGAGGTCCTCCTGCCTTTTCTTCCTTCCCAAGTGCTGGGGTTACATATCCAGCCATAAATGGGAATTTTCAGCAAGAATAATTTATAACTTCTAATTATCATTTATTTAACTGACATTTATTATATCCTGACTGTGCTGTGAGGCAGGCTTTGTGCTTTGGGACACCAGGCAAGAGCAGGGCTGAGGGCAGCTTGGAGCATAGAGCTTGCTGTGGGCCGTGATTTACTCTGTATAAGTGAATAGGTAGCCGAGGATTCCTGGACTGCAGAATAGCATGATTGGAAGTTAAGTCAACATTTAGGAAAAAATATTTTTACTTCATTATTATTGTATGCATGCAGAGAAAGATGGAGGGGGAGGGAGGGAGAGAGAGAGAGAGAGAGAGAGAGAGAGAGAGAGAGAGAGAGAGAAGAGTGTCATGTAGATATGGAGGACTGAGCACAACCCTTGGGAGTTGGTTCTCTCCTTCCACCATTGGCTTCGGGTACTGAATTAAGTCAGCAGTCTTAGACCTGCTAAGCTACCCCGCTTACCAATTCTTTTATTATTTTTTTATTTGTTTGTTTTTAATACTGCCAATTTGTTTCATAAAAGCATTGCATTTGAGTGAAGGTAGCTTATTTTCCCCCCATATCATCACCGAAACTGAGTTTCCTCACACAGACAAAGCAAAACCAAGCCAAACCTTGATAGCTTAATAGGCTTAAAATGCAGCCTCAGTATTGTTGTACTTGGCATTTCTTCTTATTTTTAGGGATGTTGAACGTTTCCTCGTTTTTAATTATTTATTGTCTCTTGTGAAAAGGCATTATTCACTTGGAGTCTTGGCTTTGCTATGTACTTGTTACTACCCTTTAAAACAACTTATTGAGGTAACATTTATGTAACATGGATTAACAATTGTTATGTGAACCACACAATGGCATTTAATACAGCCACAGCACTGTGTAACCCCAGACCTGTATTCAGCTTGAAAGATTCCATGTTTCTCCTGCCATTTTCCCAGCATTCTGGAGAGTAGATGAAGAACTGCTATTCCAACGAATGGGCAGATTAGGGAAGTAATCTGTATGAGGTTTTTGCTTCTCTTCAGCACGAGGAAAGGGATCCTTGGTGATTTCACATGGAAAAGCCCTGCCAGTTCTGTGACGTCACACTCAGCCAGAAGACGGTGCTGACTAATGGCAGATTCCCTGAAGCAGGGCATTCCCATCCTGCAACAGCAACCTGCCATGGCTGCTTCAGCAGCCAAGGAAAATGCCTGAAGTGAAATGAGGGATGTGAGGGAAAAGTCAATCTAAGCCCACGTTCCTCTAAAAGAAGACTACGTAGTCTCACCATCAGTTTCAGGGAGAGAGGAAATAAGGCCGAATTAGACTTAAACAGAATGTGTCTTGAGAAAATCCTCTTAAGAGAAAAAGCCTAAGGCAGTTTTGAAAGGTGAGACCAATGGTGATATATGGACCAATAGACGTGCATGGTTCCATAAGACGAGTATCCTTTCTCTCAGCAGCAGATGTCACAGTCAGACATTTAAATAGGTCAGACCACCCAAATATGAAATTGGAGTAGCCTAAGATACATGTATAAAGAGAGTTGTCACCACACACACACACACACACACACACACACACACACACACACACAGTGGTGTGTGTTTGCATGCTTACATGCATGTGAGGTGTGTATGAATTTATGTGCACACGTGTGTAAGGCCAAAGGTCTTCCTCAATTGTTTTCACTTAATTTACTGAGCAAGGTCTCTCACTGAACCCGAAGTTCATCTATTCCATTGGTCCAGCAAGCCAGCCCTCCTGGGGGAGTTCCTGTCTCAATTGGTGGATTACAGGTGGCTGCTATCTCCGGTCAGTTTCTATGCCGGTGATGTTGATCTGAATTTCACAAGCCCTACGTCCACGGAACCCCCCCCCCCCCCAGCCTCTTGATGTATATTCTGTCTCAGAAGTGCTGGTATCATTTCTAGAGTGATAGTGCCAAGGTTCCAGCTAGGTCCCCGTTCTCTCAGCTTCGGGTTCTGTGACTAAAGGTGGCCTGCTTCATTGGTAGAGATTTATCTCCTAGTTCTAGGAATGATCGGCTCTACATTTTTGGATATGCGCTTCTGTTATTTTGTCCTTGAAAAAAAATGAGACACTTGAGAAGTTAAAGGCATTTGCAGCTCTTCCAGAGAACCAGAGTTCGGTTCCCTGTACCCTTGTCACTTGGTTCACAACTGTCTGTAACTCTAGTTCCAGGACATCCTACCTCCACCTCAAGCGCACATACACCCATAAACAAGATTCAAAAAGAAATTTCAGACGCAATAATGCAAATTCTAGGGACAATTGAGAAGTAGAAGAAAATGCGGTCTGGATTCTTAGTTAGGATTAGCGTGTGCTTTGCCATGTCTGCTTTGGTGGATGCATCACCATGTGTTTCTCTGATTTGTTGTAGGTTAACGAAGCCCTTGTCCTTTGCTGACTGTGTCGGGGATGAGCTGCCATGGGGATGGGAAGCAGGGTTCGACCCGCAGATTGGTGCCTACTACATCGATCACATCAACAGTAAGTCTTTGTTTGGGTGAACTAAAGTATATCAGAAAACACACCTCCACGAGCCTGTAGGCACTCATACAGAAGACAGACGGTTGGTTTACAGAGGAAGTTGCCTTATTTTAAATTCTTGGTTTTTCTTTTGAATTTAGTTAATGTGTTTTCATTTTACACACCCACCACAGTTCTGTGTTGTGGTCCCCCACCCATCCCCATCTCCCATCAACCTCTCTCCCATCCACTTCCCCTCATATGGGCTTGAACAAAGCATGGCACATCAAGGTGAGGCAGGACTGAGCTCTTCCCCCTGCATCAAGCCTGGGTGAGGTAATCCAGCATGGGGAACAGGTTCTCAAAAGCCAGCTAAGCACCAGGGACAGGTCCTGATCTCACTGGTCCTGATCACAAACGCACCAAGCTACACAACTGTCACACACATGCTGTGGGCCTAGAGGAATGACTCAGCTGTTAAAGGCTAGGTTCACAACCAAAAAGTCTTGTTTTTTAATGACTAGTACTCAACTCCAGTGCCCACTTAAGTACTTGGGGTGTATATAAGGAACTATTCTTAAGGAGACAGAGGGTGAGGTTGTCTGAACTGTCTGTTGGGCAGACAATGAGTTTTAATCCATTATAGGTCAAGGGGGCTATGGTCTACAGCCACTGGGTACCTCTCTCTATGACCCTGCTCCTCTGATTGGAGTTCTCTTGCTTGTCCCAGAAAGAGAGAACAAAGTCTGAGCTGGTATGGCCTGGTGGCTGGGAAGGGGTGGGCACTCATCAGTGGTTCTGGACATCAGCATAGCCGTGTAGAAGTGACCAAGACCTCTTTCCTTCTGTGTGTGATTTGCTTCTGGTTTATTGGGGAAGAGCTCTTGGCTTTCATAGCTTTTAGATCTGTCAGGGTACTGCTAAGACTGAGAACTGCCATGGCCATGAACATTTTATAAAAAGATTTATTTTTATTTTTTCATAATGTGCCTATGTGTGGGTATATGCATGGGAGTGCAGGTGCCAGTGGAGTTCAGAAGAGGCCATCAGATCCCCTGAACCACAGGAGCTGGAGTTAGGAGCAGACACAAGCCATCTGATATGGATGTTAGGAGCGAAATTTTGGTTCTCTGCAAGCACAGCATGTGCTCTTAGCCACCGAGCCTTCTTTTTAGCCTCCAACCATACACTTCTAAAAATACATACTTGGAGTATTTTTTTTAAGATTTTATTTATTTATTATGTATACAACATTCTGCTTCCATGTATATCTGCACACCAGAAGAGGGCACCAGATCTCATAATGGATGGTTGTGAGCCACCATGTGGTTGCTGGGATTGAACTCAGGACCCTTGGAAGAGCAGTTGGTGCTCTTAACCTCTGAGCCATCTCTCCAGCCCCTTGGAGTATTTTTTTTATTCATTTGTGTACATGTAAGCGCATGTTTACATGAATATTTACTTCTTTATTGAGCCCTTTAAAGGTTTATTCTGGTTGTAATACACAGAAGTCAGGATGATTCAGTTTATTTCACTTAAAACTATTTTATAGACTTGAGGGAGTCCATAGTTAATTGATTGCCTGTTATCTTATTTTTCTTAGATCTGTTCTTACATGAAAAGATTCCTATAGAATATATCACTTAATGCCCCCCCCCGTAATGATTTATAGCTGCCCTCTGTAGGTATATAATACATTTAAAAATTATTTACTTTATTTTATGTGTATGGATGCTTTGTCTGCATGTATGTATGTGTGCCATATGTGTGCTGGTGGTTACAGTGGTGAGAAGAAGGCATCCGGTTCTCTGGAACTGAAGCTGTGGATGGTTGAATCACCATGTGAGAACTGGGACCCGCACTGGCTCGTCTGCATGCTTTTTACTGCTAGGCCATTTCTTAGCCCAGATAGCTTATATTAATAGTGAATTCTTACAGGTAGGTGAGATTCAGGAGCAGTTACTCATAAGATAGCAAGTCGGTGTTCCAAAGTGCACAACGAGTGTGTGTGTGTGTGTGTGTGTGTGTGTGTGTGTCTGAGAGTGCACATGTGTACACTTGTATATATGTGTGGTGCTGAGAACTCAGCACCTTATACATGCTAAAACTTTGTGCTTTGTTAAAGTTAGCTTTTAATTTATGGGATCTTAAGGTTTTACTTATTTATTTTTAAATGACTGTTAAGTTTATGGGTGTTTTGTCTGTAATTATATTTGCACCACTTGAGTGCCCGGCGTCCAGGGAGGCCAGAAAACGACAGTATTAGAGCCTCTGGAACTGGAGTCCCAGATGGTGTGAGTTGCTTTATGGTTACCAGGACTCAAACCTGAGTCCCTTGAAGGAACAACCAGTGCTCATAACCACTGAGTTATCGCTCCACCCAATTTTGTGTTACATAATTGCAAATACACACACACACACACACACACACACACACACACACACACGAATATCTGAAATAGCTATGTGACTTTGTAATACTTACTAAATGTAAAAATTAAAAATTAGCCTTCTTCCCATCAAATAATATTTGGGAAACCAAAAGCCCACCAGTTTTTACAGGTTCAACAAAAATAAGTTGTCATGGTAACCAAGTGGGAATGTGACCTGCCTGGGCTTCTCTTCTCCCACCACAAGCCCTGTGCTGTAGAAGCTTCTCACAAAGCTAACTTTTCTTACTTTTTCTGGACATCATCCCACCTACCCCATGGGTACTGCTTAATGTCTTTCCCATCTAATCCTCCTCTCCTGTTCAGTCATTTTGTACTGATTTAAAAAATTTCTTCTAATATCTTGTCTGTGTGTGTGTGTGTGTGTGAGTGTTTGAGACATAGTCTATGTAGCCCCTGCTGGCCTAGAACTTGTTATTTAGACCAGGCTGGCCTCAAAGTCACAGACATTTGCCTACCTCTTTATCCTGAATGCAAGGCTTAAAAGCATTAGCTGCCACACCCAGTCTTTCAGTATTTACTTTACATTTTTCTGTCTTAATATATAAACACTGGATACCCTCAAAATGACTTTTAACCAAAGCCATAAAAGAAGAAACAGTAACAAATTTCTCCATGCCTTCTTAAATCTATTCCTTCCAGATGTGTCCAACTCTACCTGCCCATATGCACCCTGGGGTTGCTATGAATGAAGTCCAGCCCCAAATCATAAACACTGTGTTTTGTGTATGTGACTTATTTTGTATGTTTCTTGGGTATGAATCTTGAAGATGCTAGTGTGTGTCAATATGTCAAAAGACTAGACATGCATGTATGCCTTTGTGGCAGTCCTCTTTGTGGCAGGCTCCCGTGGCTTAAGTGACCTTCACTTATTTCAGAGTCCACTCTTGCTGAGGTCATCTGAGACACCTAGGTGACAGTTAGGCACCACTGCATTCATGACTTCTTTGACTTGTCACCATGGGTCATCCCTTTTCCCTGGCTCCTCTGGATTTCGTGGTATCTTTCTATTAGAGGTCCTTTTTCAATACCCTTCTAGAATTGTCTGTTCAGTTGCCTCTGCTCCCAGGAGGCTTCTGATGACCCCTTCACTGTGCATTTCTCCTTCCATGGATTAGGTGCCTCTGCCTATTCATTTCTGTAATTCTTGGTACATAGGAAAATTTAAGAGCATTGCCATCTTGCACTTGTATTTGTTTGCATTTCTTGATTCTTCACCAGCCCTAGAGCCTCTTGGAGGCAGTGATGACATCTTATGTATTTATCCTTGGATTCTGTCTAATGGTAAACTCATGGAGGGAGAGCTGTGTCGCAGGAGTCACAGAATAAAGGCTGATTTTTAGAAAGGGTTTAAAGTGCATTTAAGTATATGTTATACTTCAGAAAGCAACATTCTGAATATATACAACCTTGATTATCAGAACATGAATTTTTAAGCCCACCACTTTGCTTTATTATATAATTGTGGCCCTAGTGGCCTGATGGATTTACTGTGCCCCAAAGGACCTGAGTTAGCAACAAGTAGTCTTCTTACTGAGAAGGAGCTGCCTGCTGTCTCATTAATCTTTGAGACATTCCTGCAAAGTAGTTTATCGGGAGCAAATGGTATTATCTCTTCTTAGCAGCTGCTCCACACATATGTTTGTTTTGACATTGTGAAGTTTCAGCATTATTTCCTCTTTATTTAGATAAAAAATGCAGCAATGAATGTTTGGTTGTTTAATAGTATTGCTGCAAAACATTCTTAAATATTAGCAGTGAAGGATTTGACCTTGACAGAGAAAGTATCCTCAGGCCATGTTTCATGTTTGCATTCTACTTTCTTAGGGTGTGTGTGTGTGTGTGTGTGTGTGTGTGTGTGTGTGTGTGGCCAATAGATGTAAGGACAAGGCTGTTTGTGCCTACCTAGAAACTAAGTGTGGTATTTATAAAGTTTTGATACTATTACTGCAACCAGTAATTTTTGCCGGGCATTGGTGTATGTAAGGTTGCTCCAGAACTATCAACATCTTTATTTTCCTGGCAGAATTGATTTAGAGACTAGGTTGGAAGTGGTTTGACTATCTGTGTAACTCTACTTCATTCCACTTAACTATGTATCTCTCCATACTCTTGGAGTGCTTGATGAGTCATGAAGTGAGAGGATTCCAGCTCTTGTTCATTTTCCAGTGCATATTGGCGATTTTAGTTCACCCTATGCTGTTTATTCCACTGCTTTATATTAGGGTGCTATGGTAGATGGCAAGTTTTAAAGCTTCATTTTATAACTCTTTTATCCAAATGACTCCTTGTGCAGAAATTCCTTCTCCTTCCAAGGGAGGAGCTTTGTCTTCTTTCTCTATTCCAAGCTGGACTTTTCTGTTCCCTAACTTCTTCCTCTCTTTTGCTTTTAATTTCTGCAGCATTTTAGAACCTCTGGTGATTTTACTTGATGGAAAATGGTGAGAACAGACACTTGCACTTTGTAGTCTTTAAGTACTCAGTGTCAGCTGTTACTTTGTCCCGTACTTGTGTAGATGGCCTTTGTGAGACAGAAGGATTCCAGTACTGGGATTAAAGGTGTGCACCAGC